TAATCAAATGAAATATATGTTCTGAACGAAAAATGTATCATACTCATACTCAGCAGAAAGATTTATTCATATACACGGAGTTTTCTACACCCAATAAATAAATATCCTCATAAACACTTCAAATTTCAAATTAGGTTTTCATATAATACTCACAATATATTTCAAGTTGCCACGTGTCTTCGATAGGCCGGTGCCTGATGACGGGCGACTGAGCGCGACATGTGAGGGACACGGAGTTGAGGGAGGCCGTGGCGTGGACGCGGGCCGTCGAGAGCGATTTGTTTGCGCCGCCACTCTGATGGTGACAAGGTCGAGTTTATCAATACACGGGTGACAACGAGGCAGATAAAACCAGCGACAACATGTAAAACAAGCTACAACGACATGTTAATAGCACCTGTCTCTTATACACATCTAGATGTGTATAAGAGACAGAAACTGCTCTGATTGGCCAATTAGATAACGATATAACATTTGTAGAACGTCTGAATTGAAAACCAAATCTTGAATACCATAAAAAAATTTTCACTTCTCGACCATAGTCGAGAAGNGAAAGTTAAACTCGTGGAATGCGTGTTGTGAACGCATGAGGTCGTGGCGGTCTCGTGAGGCCTCTAGATTCAGACAGTAATGTCAAGTAATCAGAAAGTTGCTGGCACAGCAAACTCTACAGCTTGTTATTTAACTTCCTACTTCAAATGCTACTCCTCAGCATCACTTGCTCATATAGCTTTAATTGCATAATGCTCATAGAGAATTAATTTCAGGAAGGGATGTAATGAGTTGAAGGTGTGTAAAAAATGTTAAATTATTTGTTGACATTCATGATATTCTTCATGAAAAATTGATTTTGAATTTTGTAAGTGTCTCCTGACGCTGCAAAGCAAGGAAACTCCAATGGAACACATCATGTCGGTATCATTTTTTTCGCTGAAAAAAAACAGAAAGATGCTTGGAGAAGCGGTGAGAAATAAAAAAACGATTAAATAGTTTTTAGAAACTATATAGTTCACGATACTAATCTTTCATGTTTACGCCTGCCCAATAAATCCTTTTAAAGGATTTTTAAACAAAACGATTTTCAGATTCAAGCCACATGCAATATAAAATTGATAGTAAATTGAGCATAATGAGGTTTGATTATCATCGCCATCTCAAACGAAATATGTATTCACACAAATTGAACAAAATAAAAAATGCATGCGCTGTATATATGTTATAGTGTGAACATAATGTGATTAAATTATTTATATGCGTACGCAGACATTCGCAACGTCTTTCTGTCAGCCAAGGTCCTGGATGAATGCCCCTCTATGTATAGCACCTTTACAGTATGCTGGTGTGTGTCAAATTCTGCTTACGTAAAATGGCTTTTCGAAGAAATCTATCTAGAACTCAATAATTTACTTTTAATTATACTGGAAGAAGGTGAAGTAAGTAGTAGTAGTACTAATACTAGAAGAAGGTGAAGAGCTTTTCTAGGTAGTTGAACATATCTACAAATATTATACTTTATTATTTTTTGATAAATATATACTAAAAATAACTATTTATTAGTACATTTTGAAATAATAAATAATATCTATTTTGGACAATACTAACAGGTACTTAACTATGCAAAGGTTACAATAATATACATTTTGATACAGCACCTTGCATTATTTTTTACATAAACGTAGCAGTTTAGTTTAAACATAAGCAAAAAATACGATGGTCGTATATATGGTCATAGCAAAGTTTATTTTTAATGGTCGAAGTTTTTCTCCACTGCACGTTTGCAGCACCAATCTATGCGCGCTAGGCTAAAAAATAACGAAGGTCATATGCGCGTATACTTTATTATGGGTTCAAAGTGTGCACAAAAAGCTCAGCAGCAAGCCAGAGCTATTATATTTAGAATGTAGGCAAAAGAATACCCTTTAGGCATTGTTTTAACGAATGCGAGAGTAGAAACTTGACTCGACTATAACACGCTCTGTTTAATGAAAGTCGTATACGAATAGGCTAAACGGAAAAAATTGCAAGGTTTTTGTGAAAGAAGATTGATTCTATATGTATAGTTTTCATAGGAAAGTCAATTATAATTGATTAGACTACTGCAAAACGGTATAATTGCGGAACAAATTTGTTCAATTTACTATAAAAAATGTTTCCGATCCTCGGGACTAAATGGGTGAGGTTCTAAAAATTATTTTCTATTAGTTGCGCCAAGATAAGAGATTAAAGATACATCTAACCACAACTTGTGCAAGTCTAAACTGCCCCTCTCATAAATCGTTGGAGGAAACAATGGCATACAGGCATTAAATTGTGACCGCATAGCGATGAGAATTCTAATCCTTATCCGAAATTCATAGTCCAATCCTAATGAAAATATCATGATATGAGGAGAACACAGGGTCTCCATTGAAGCTGCGGGCTGGTCTTGCTGGTAATAAGCAGAAGGGGGAGCTAGCGCTTCATAAAGCTCATCAGGCTTATTGCCCCAAACAATGATAACACAAAGACGCACTTAGCCATTATTATGGTACATGGAAGGACACGCGCATTCTCCGGGTGATAATCAAGGGTCCAGAGCAGCGCATCTTTGCGCCGCTACATAATGAGCGCCCGCTTTGCATGTAGATGGAGCCTAGACTACGCGGCACAGCTTCAAAAATGTGGGGAGCGATCGCGCTGAGCGGCCCTGAAGGGATGCGCATGCAAATAAATTGCTCTAAATTAAAAATGATTTCGAGACGATAAGCAATAGTTATTGTTGGCATGTCATTTTGTGGCGTGAGGAATGCGCTAATGATTGTCCATCTTCATGTTTAATAATTTTTAATTTAATTTGTAACCGTTACTTTGAATAGCTTCAACCTTGGATAAATACAGGATTAATAATTTGTCCTTCTTATGCATTTTGTAACTGATTTACTGAATCATTTGGATCTGATAAGAATTCAACCACAAAATTGTGTTACTGCAATTATGGTTTTGAAGAATCGTGACGTCTTAGCAAAGTAAGCTGACGACGTCATCAATTTGCAATGGCCTGCAAAATTAGAAAATGCATCGTATCCTGATTACCGTCGCCCTTAAAGAGAATTAATGAGCCTGCATTTCTCAGGCCAGCTTCCCCAGGAGAAGCGTCTTATCGTCTTTATTTTCAAATTAGACAACTAGACGTCGTCTTTATTTCCACATTAGAGAACTAGACGTCGCATCAAAGATACAACTCACGAGCGATGATAAACGCTGAGTTTGCCACTAATTATTGATGATCAAGTGCACGCAGTCGATGTACATATGCGTTTGTGCTCTCAGCGTTGATATTTTTTATAAAGCAAAACGTGCAAGAAAAAGTTCACTAGGATATCAGCACTGGAAGGCTAAGTACTCGTATAGTTGATATTTGGGTAATGCTAAGGAACTCGATCTGCAGAGGGAAGGATTCATTGGCAACGTAGTATCTAAAACTCGATTCTTCGCAAAAGGCAAAGTATTCACAAGTAAAGTTCCTTGCAATGCTTCTCATTTGCTATGCATTTCACATCTGAAAGCTGAATAAATATTTTCTTAGTCCTCTCTTTCATTTGAAAATTTTTTGCTTCAACAACAAGAGCAAAAAGCTTTCTAAACGAAACCAGCTTCGTTAGTTTGCCTCGAATATTTCGGCAAATATCACATGCTGAGTTGCTAGAAAATTAAATATTTGGCTAAAAATGTGGGATTACGAGACTAACCCTAATCAAAATTCCATCGATCGTTTAACCCATGCAATTCAATGCATAATTCGTGTAATTTAGATCAATTCTTGTCAGGTAGAAGATCTGTACACAATTTTTTTTAATAATAAATTCTTGCCTAGTCTTCTTTTTGTGTTTTTTGAGACACTGCATTTGTAAATTTCAAAGGCTAGTTTGATGGGGTCAAGTAGTGTGTGATGATGAAGCTATTGTACTGAAGTGATATTTTTTTCTTATGACAGTGACGATAATGAGAGGGTATTCACATTCAGAAATAAGTTGATCTTGCTTTTAGTTACCCAACTAATTTAGAAACCTTGTAATTTTTTCATACAGATGACACACTTTGCTGATGCCTCAAGCTCTAATCCAATTTAGATTGCAGGTAATAAACCTGTCTACCCGTACGTGATCATAATTTTTATTCCTCAATTAAGGTTTCAAATTCTGTTCGGTGAAATTCGGTTGTGCTAATCGTTTGTTTTTTATTAAGGGTTTTCCGAACAGACGATGTGGCTGAACTCCGAAATGTTTTCTGTGAAGATATGTTTAATTTTCAAGAAATTATATATGCAGGTAAATTATAAATTAATTTTAGTTTCAAACAATAGATCGAGGGTTATTAGGAATGGTATTATTCCTAGGTGTCTCAGCAATAAAAAGTCAATGCCTGATTTGTAGCGATCGATGTACTCGTATTTATGTTTGCAATACCGCCTTTTTAATTTGTTCATTTCATGTGCTTCTCTCTAAAATAATGGAAACATAATTGGCTGTTATCCAGCATCGATCAAAGCAGATTCAGTCTTAAGTCAATCTCGGGTTGCATTCAAATCTTCGTCGCTGAGAAATGATTGCAGATATTCAATGAATATTTAAATTATTATTTTTTTATATAATTGAAAATGCAATACGAATAAGCTCACTACATTCATTGAAAATGAGGCGGCGATGCAAATTAAGCATCAACTGCTCTAAGTAAAAGTTTAAATAACGTATACACGCACTACTGTAAAAGGTTAAGATTTGGTAGTGGACGATGCGATATAGAATCGTAATTAAGTATGACCTGAGGGTAGTTCGTATGTAGCGGGATCCGAGGATATATAGAGGAACAGCGTAAACGATTATATAATATACTTTTAGGATTATAGTTCGGCTTACAGTTTAGGATAATCAGATTATAAGTTGGAGCTTTAACACTGATGTCTTCGGCGTCCAGTTGAAGTATGGATAAGTCTAGAGTGTATCTAGTGACTTGCAACTCACGGTTCATCTCGATGGTGACGATGGTGGTGACGGGTATGGTGAGGTTGGTGTTGTGCGCCTCACACACGAGTGAAGCGTGCAGGTGTTCACGCTGCAGCTCAGGGATGGTCAGGGTGTTGGTGGCCAGACCTGGCCGTGGCCACTCCCAGCTGCTGTCCACCACGTGGCTGCCCAGCCGCCACACCACCTCTGGCGGAGGCTCGCCTGATGACATCAGAAAATGTAAGAACATTGGACTAAACTAATTATGCAGTTCAAGTAGATCGAAAATTAGAGGAGCAAATAACCAAAAATTAATCAACGTGGTTATAAATTTGAGTGCGACCCAATCATAATTTCCACCAAAATTCAGAGAGCTTGAAAAGTTACTGGAGAGCCCTTGACTACACTGCAGAAGGAAAATGGACGACTTGGCTGAAACGATTACCACATCTAAAAATTGATGTAGACAAAACTAAACTCGTTTGATCGTAACTCAAATGAATGGAAACATTTATGGAACATGAGAAATATTCTAATATTCTTTCTAATTATAATGCTCTCAGTTTGTACATACTGTATGTAAAGTCTTGCGTATTTATATTCAGGTGATTCAAGCGAGAGATGGTTTAGTCTGCCTTAAAAAATAACTAAAAATTTTAAACTCGTAAAAAAAGAACAAAATAATCATTCTGGAATTCAACCAAAATCAAGCCACTCAATTGCAGCAAAGGATTTGAAAGGGCGAGGGAAAAACTGGTATATAGTCCTGACAAATGCTGATTCCCGTCAAAGACGTCTGTGAAGTTCAGGAATACGACGATTAAAGCTTAAGACGCCTGTGGGAAGACCAAATAAAGTGGAAGCCACTTTGACATTTACGACGACTTGGCGAATAGCATTGGAGCTCTAAAATAGACGACCAATGCAAATGCCACAAAGCCTGGTCCGTATTGAGCCTTCCTGAGGACGCTTTCCCTTGACAACATAGGATGCGCAATCCGCGGGAATGTCAGTAATCACAGAGACCGCGTTCATTACAATAGCGTAAGTATACTCTGCGAAAGTGAACAAATATATAACTCCGATGTAAAGTGGAGATGAACAAATTTAAATAAATTACGGTGGTAAATTGGCTACTGGAACACGTATAAGAACTGGCAAAAATAGATCAGACATTGAATCATGTACAATGCGGGTAAAGTCAGCTTCTCGATGCCAACTCAGTCTGAAAGAAGCAAAAGACGACATCAAAAGACCATGCACCGCCTAGAAAGCTTTTTTGTGAACACTGCAGACTTCTTGAAAAGTTATCGAATGAAGCTATTCTTCTCTCTAGACTCTAGAGGAATGACAGCTTGCTTGTGCGTTAGGAATTTTTCTTAACACACAGTTTTTTTCCACGGAGATTTAAAAGTGGACACAGAAATAAATCACTGCAGTATTCGACCAGAATTGACGCGATATTGTTACATGAAGTTGCAAAACTTGTTGCTATATAGAATCAAGTATGATATGAAACTGGCTTTGTGCTTGGACCCTGCCTGCGGCTTCAACATTCGTACATTATCATTCAATTAGTGAAATATTAATTTTCAAAGTTTAATTTTATAGGCCAATTAATGTAACAATACGAACACTAAAAGTAAGTTGAAATTTCAATAATCTAGAGGGCCATACTTTCAAAACTGGCTAAGTGAACGTAAGTACTTACGCTCTATTTTCTTGTCTATGATTGCTGGATTTTGCTTGAAAGGCCGTCAATGATCGGCAGATGAACTTACGATCTCTTAACTTTTTTTGAAAGTATGGGCCCTGAACTTTACAGTGTCATGAAAATCTCACGTTATACTTTTATAAAACATTCTAGTCCAGCACACCGTAATCTAGTTTCATTAGGTAAGGTAAATAATGATGCAGTATTAGTCCCGAAACCTGATAGTTTTTGGGTAGCGACTGCGAATCACGAGTGTAATGCAAAGGAAAATGAGAAGCTGAGACCCTTCGTCAGATACAAAGATTGTTTGTAGCTGAAAAGTTGCTGGATAACAGTCTTTGTTCAGTTCACATCCATTTCAAAATGAACTTGCATGAATATAACGTGAACCTAATCTTTCAGGCCTGTGGTATTATAGATCCTATTTCAGGGAACAAATGCTACAAATCCGCTTCTGGCTAAGCTGGACATGTTCCGGGATTCATGCCACTCTTCGTACTTTTTGAGGGCATAAATATAGTTAAACGATTATAAATAATACAATTTTAAGACAAATTAGTGGAATTTCACCCGATTGTCCTATGCTATTCCCAGCATGATTTAATTTAGTAGTTTAACAGCAAAAAATACAACATATGAGTCAATCGTAAGAAAATACGGCTTAATTGTGCCATTGATTTAAATACCTTGCTACTTTAATTTTATTTATATTACAATTTAGTAATCATGAATATTTGAAACAAATGAAGTAAAATAAAAAAATTAAATTAAAAACATTCTACATATACGTAATTTCGTTCTATATGCATATGAAATAGATTAAATCACGGAAGAATTTGACAACGCGATATCAGAAAAAAATTAATTCGATGGACAATGTGAAATTTAATTATGTCACATGAGAATAATTACTAGACAAGATCATCTCCAATCCTTCTATTACATATTGAAGAACTCTGACATGATTGACGTGCATAACTTTTTGACGTGTCACAGTGAGAGACTTTTCTGGTTCAACCTGAGCGTTGATACGAGAAAATAAATCCAGTTTGTCACTTTTCGTCTTATTTGATTCAATTGAATGATGAATCAGCACCAGCCCACCTAGCCCCTAACCGCGAATTTGATGTAAAGCATCGCGCGACAGGTGAACGGTACAGGAGACCAACAGTGAGTTTTTCTCGACGAAAGAATAGAACTTATTGCTATGATTTTCATGAACATGTTCATAATTTTTTTAATATGATCTCAATCTTCTACCATCAGATAACTGCTTGATGTATAAACCGGGTGCGAATCATCACATTGAGCATTGAATAGTTGAATTTATTGTTTAATTAAACCAAAAACTTAGAAGGGAGTATTTCAACAGTCTGGGAAAAAAGTTCATCATAGGCTGTGATTCAGTACACGACTCGACCGAGCACAGTGTGCCATTGCCTACGTCTTTTAAAAACTGACTGCAGACACTGATATATTTAAAGTTTCAATTTCTCATGCCACACGGTGAGCCTGGCTACGGAAAATTTGGTTAAAGCCAATGGTCAAAGATCATGATCACCTGACGATGATTAACGTTGAGTGACCCCGCGTACATGAGAAATTGCATGAAGTAAAGCCACAACTTATTTATTATTATTTTTCTGAAAGAGCTGTTCAAATGTGTGCATTTCATTTGGTGAAAAACCGTCCACAAACTTGATTTATTGTTTCACAATTGATTTCAGTCTAAATTCTAAAATAATTATCTGTTAAATGATAACAATTCGTTAGCAGCGTTGTCGTGTGAAATGAACATCTCCCTTCGATGAAAGTCAGGGAACATAAAAGGTGTGCATCTGAGTAGTTGGGGCTGAGGACATGGCACTATTTCAGTCGCGTTGGTATACCGAAATAATGTGTAGCCTACATTCCTGCAGCCGACATTTGATTGATTATCTATCCATTTAAACTAAAAGGACGTCTGTGTGAGATTTCAGCGTTTTCAAAAGATTTAATAGTTCATGACTGTCTCTCATGTATGTCTTTAGATTTTTTGAGATTGGAAGCAGAAAGTAATCCGTAAATTTACTTACCACAGGCAGATGTTATAGGTCTACCCGCAAAAATTGTGTATTTATATATCATTCCCGCAGCATATATATATGGTTGGTATCCTCAAATCTTTGCGTTTTTGCTTTAAGATATTTGAGTTTGTTTTGCGCTTTTGAGTTGATTATTTTATTTTTATATCCAACATTTATGACAAAACGAATATAATGGTCAGGTACCCAAGTCGAGTGTCGAGTATCTAAGCGGGGTCATTCTGGGTATAACGAGCTCGTTATGTGTCTTTGTTCAGCTGATTCTGGTGCTAAGCAATTGCAGCATAAGGCCGATGCGATGTTCAAAAACACCGCCAGTGATTTGTTTATAGTTACATTATAAATCTTATTATACGTACAATTAAGGCTCCTCTCACCTCATTTAGATTGTTATTGCAGGTGGAAGTAAGCTTGCTTGTAACTTCTGGACAATATTTGCTATATACTCGAACGCCTTATGAGTACCGTCTTCACAAAATAAATTTTCAGGGCAATTATGTGTTAAAGCAGCATCTAGGGAAAGAAATATTCCCCAGTGTCAGCTCTATTATTAAGTCATGAGCCTATGGGCAGCTTTTCGGGTTTGAAACATCTCAATCAGCTCCGAGACGTTGCTGCTATTGTTATGAAAGGCTTCGGAATAATTAACATAGCCCAAAGGTTATTGATACAGTCTTCGCGCCATGATAAAGTGACGATAAATAACCAGCTACTCTTGCCGTCAGTGCCTAAAATCTCGCAGAGTAATCCGTAATGAATAGACCTCTTATCCGTTTTTAAACATGCGCAATGCTTCACTACAGAAATATAAAGCCCCTATTAGAATACTGAACAATAAAGTAGAAGTAAATGCAACCCTGACCTGCGGATTAGGTCTTCAAACTTTCACAAAATTGAACAACTTGATGGAAGAAAAACAATCGCACCACTCGGCCAGTTAATCAGACAGGTAATTCGCCCAGCCGTGAACTGTCATTCAGCGGTGATGTTGACGACCTTGTCTGGTGTCACTGAGTTACAAGCCAATATTCGTTGCAGAAATGAGCACGACGCGCATGCAACTTGCATGCAAAAAATGCGGATAATGAGCAGTCCGGGAAAATATGTAGTTTATAAATGTGGTTCTGACAAGGCTGGTCGCTACTACGTGTCGCGAGGGCGATTTCCGGGCTTTATAAAGAAGTCAATATCGGCGTCAATATTTCTGCTGTGCTCTCAATAGCAACTCGAATATATCGATAAGCCATTACAGGCATTATGTAGGGTGGGGGCTTGCGATGACCTGTCCTTTGGTAATGGGTGACGCGATCTCCTTTCTGTGACTTCTTTTCTAAGGTACTGTGACCCTATAAATTGTTAAGATTGACTGCCACATTAACTACAGCACAATAGTTTCATGACCACGATAAAAATGGCTATCAATTCTGTTCAACCATTGCTGGATTGATATTGAGCCATTTAATGACTATGGGCATTTAGTATATTTTCATGTTGAACGCAAATAGATAACTTTGGAATTCAATGTCAAACTTCTTAGCATATGCATGATTCATTATTAAATCAGAATAGTTGTTTATGAAATTGTGGTTCACTATGTCTATTTTGTGGGCATATGTGAGGCCGTTAGTCGGTAGAGACGTAAGGTAAACATTATATCTCCAGAGACCAGCATAAACATTATCTTTGCAAACAAAGCTAACCACCTTTATATCAATCACAGCAGTTAAAACTTCATCATAAATTTTTTTGTATCATAATTCCATTACGATGTGTCTATATGAATTTTAAGTGATCGTTATTATAAAATAATGGAATTCCACCAAACTTAGACTTATCCAAGTATATTTCAATAAATAAATTTTTTATTACAAGCTGCATTCTACTTCTAACTCGTGTCTATACAAAAAGATGGTGATTTTTAATCGAGGAATGTCTTTAATTATGATTCATGAGCTTAATACTAGCTACCACTATGACTTTGAATTACTCGCTGGCCACAAACAAAGTACATTATATTGCAACTCGATCGCTTTCTGAACATTCAGTCAGCTTCGATTTGAAGAAAATATACAATTTTCTACATTAGTATAGAACGGAGAGCATCATGCACAATAGAAAATCGTGCTTGTATTCTTCGAAAAACACCAGTGAGCGAGTACAAATGAATACAATTTTGTTCGTGTTTGTCGTGGTATCACTTAATATTTTAATTACACAATAAATTGCTATAGATACACTTTAGGTACATATGATATAGTATTCCTATTATTTCATACAGACGTCACGCCCGACGTCTGCACCAATTTCTTTTACAATCCATATTTGATTCCAAAGCTCAGAAGCGAAATAAAGAGAAAGCTAAAGCGCGGGTACAAACAATAACGACACGGTGACTTTACAATCATGTTGAAACTTTCCTTTGCATTAATTATCAAATAATATATTTCCACAACCTGAATGTAACGCCTTCCTCAAAAGGTTGCTACGCCTAGAACTGTTCAGGAGTAATTCTTGCTCCTGAGGTGCTGAGCTCTAGGCTAATAATTAAGGAGGTTCAATATTGTATACTAAGTACGCTGCGTCGGTTTAATAGTGATGAAACAGACCAGTTGCAATTATTGAATAAATCTGCGCAAAATTTGAAAAATGAAAATATAATAGGAACGCTGGCACGTTTGTGAGAAATAAATATCAGATAATCAATTGAATACACGAGAAAAAATATGAACTAGGAACACTGAACAGGTAATGCGACTTTAATTGGTGACAGACGCAGGAAAAGTGGCCGGCCGAGTTACGTGTCGGCAGTCTGCTTATTCAAGCAGACGTTGTCATACGAGTCTTAAAAATAAACAATCTGTAAAGTTAATGAGCTGCGGCTACACTGCATAACCTGCATAAATCTGTAATAACTTCAATTAAATAACTTCTAATTTACTTTTAAATTGCCTTAGCCTCCCTTGAAAAGAAGAAAAGTTGAGATTATTTATTGCAGTCACGTACTGATACATGCTGCAGCCTACACGTACTGATACATGCTGCACCCTACACGTACTGATACATGCCTGTCTCTTATACACATCTAGATGTGTATAAGAGACAGAACATCTGTCACGTCGCCTGTCTACGTACCGTCAGTGGCCTCACGCCTACGCAACGTCTGTCACGTTGCCTGTCTACGTACCGTCAGTGGCCTCACGCCTACGCAACGTCTGTCACGTCGCCTGTCTACATACCGTCAGTCGCCTCACGCCTACCCAACGTCTGTGACGTCGCCTGTCTACGTACCGTCGGTGGCCTCACGCCTACCCAACGTCTGTCACGTTGCCTTTCTACGTACCGTCAGTGGCCTCACGCCTACGCAACGTCTGTCACGTCGCCTGTCTACGTACCGTCAGTGGCCTCACGGCTACGCAACGTCTGTCACGTCGCCTGTCTACGTACCGTCAGTGAAGTGGCCTCACGCCTACGCAACGTCTGTCACGTCACCTGTCTACGTACCGTCAGTGGCCTCACGCCTACGCCACGTCTGTCACGTCGCCTGTCTACGTACCGTCAGTGGCCCCACGCCTACGCCACGTCTGTCACGTCGCCTGTCTACGTACCGTCAGTGGCCTCGCAGATGAGCCTCAGTTGGCTGCCCTCGTCGTAGGGCCCCACGACGCCGTAGACGGGCTGGCCGCTGGACAGGAGGATCTCGGGGGGCGATGGCGGGACTGCGGCACATCAAAAATACCTCGTATTGTCGTGATTAATTTCCTTAAAGCAGTAAATACTAAGACATGTTAAAAAAAATTTTAAGGTGAAATTATTCTAGAAATTTTCATTAAGGGGAAACGAGCATAGAATTATCTAAAAAGGCTGTGGCAATTTATTCGATAGAAGAAAACGCCTTCAAAAGCTTTTAATGGGAGAGCCCAATAAATTTGCTTATATAAAATTAGGCGCGAAATTAAAAAGCGCCTGACTAAAAAAATTCGATTATCAGAACTTCAAATTTTAAATCTAAGTACTGAGAAATTTTGCCATATCACCATATAAAAAAAACCTTGAACACACGCTTGACTTACAGCAAGATTAATTCTTTAAAACCAAGCACTGATAGTGTCTGGCTCAATTAACCCACTTGGCGAGGATAGAGTGCTGATTTGCTGCGACATAAGTAATCATGGTGATAGAAGATAATTCCTGTCACATGCAATAGGAAACAATTATCGGGGTACTGAAAAGAGGGCCCAGATAATAATTTCTCATAACGATGGCACTGAATTTTAGCCGTCATTACCATAATGCTGCCATTCACTGCCGTCATGGCACATCCAGCGCCTGCTGGGTGCCGCAGCACCGCCGTGCGGCCGCTGTCATCAAATGGGAGTCCGGTCATATGAATATAGCCGCATAATTCACTGCAGTTGTTAATTCACACGTCGAGCGACTGCACAAAACAGCGCCTACACGATGCCCAATGCAGGTATAGTGTGGCGGCAGCGTGAGAGAGCCAGCAGTGCGGCATGCGGCCAGCAGCGTGCACATGAGGCAGGGAAGGCGTAGTAAATGTTAGACGTTAACCCTAATCGCCACGGATTGTCGTGTCACGCCACAAACTCAGCTGGCAATGATATCTGCCCGTAATTCCATTAAGTATTTTTTTGGTGTCTTCTATTGTACATACGCTGCGATTATTTTACCAGGCATAAATATAGATTGTTTCCTATCAAATGCAGTCTTCAAACGCACAATTGTGAACTCGAATCCATTTTTAAAAATTATGAGAATGAAAGGACCGAATTTCTGGCCTCAAGCAGAGGCCAGAAAATAAGGGCGTTTTCCCGCTAACCCTACGCGATTAGGGTTAATAGGGTTAATGTTCAGCATGACAGCGTACATGGGTTATTGATAACAAAACGCCAAAACGGTTCCATCATGACTGCCGTTGCAGTGATACGGCATTCACGCGACTGCCGATTGGCAGGCTGCTATATGTAATGTTGGCACTAACTTTTTACTGGGATTGTCTAGGAATACCCGATCAGAAGTAACGTAATTTGAATGGGGTACAGGGTTACAGAGACATATGAAGGGAAGATTATCACTGACCTACGGAAAATAAGTAAGAAGCGAACTTGAAACCTTAATATAACCATATACACTAATGGTTCTCATGTCATAACTTAAGCCTCATGGTCATTATTTAAGCGGTCCAAATTCACTTTATATACATTGAAATCGATTTATTGATTGACGTTGTGGTCAGATCCATTCAGAGGCCAAAATAAAAAGTTAATTTCATTTGGGACCTGGGCCATTCGCGCATATGCAACAACTTTCTGCATCAGTCAGAAGCTCGGAAGATTTTAGGGTCAGATCGTGCAAAACTTTGACAGAAAGTTGCACCAAACCCAAAGTTTGGCATGCGATAATTTCTGTCAATGGCGAAAAACGATCGGAACACACAATGACATTTAATATTTTCCCGAGAACTGGATTATACTCGTAGAAATATAATGTATTCATATAATAGGGATCTGTGTTACCGGTATATCAATATAATATAAAGCTCACAAGTGCGCGTGTTTTCAGAATATCCCGGTTTAATCCTTTTTTAAATTATTGCAACTAGAAATCATTGCGCATATCAGCATTTATGCTCGAAGAAACGTGAAAAATGCCACCCGATCAGCTGACCAATAATTTATTCAACTGCAAAAAGTGACCAAATCTGCGGCATCGTACAATAGGTAATTGAACAGAATACCTAATGTATTTTATTGTGTTAACTAAGCACAGCTTTTGAGAGTGAATTTATCTCGAAGCATTGAAATTTCGAATAAAATCAAACAATATTGCTGAAAATCATCCAATATTTTGATATAACAGTTTTATTTAGATTCGATTTTTTTCATGTAAATACCCTGTGATCATTACCAAACACTAACCTTAGCACTGTAAAAATTATTGTCAAACAGTATATAATTTATCCAACAAACTCTATCTTGAACGTCTTCCTCATGTTATATTCAAACATCCTGTCAAGATATACTCTCGTATTTTTCTCCCTGCCGCCATACGTCCTATCACGCTCGTCGCTGCAGAAACAGTTCGTGACATTGACGATAGAAGCGTTCACAGGCAACGCATGTCAATCATTCACAAGACCGACACGCATGCAACTTTATTATGGCAGGGCTCGCGACTTCTTTTTCTCTGACACGAACAAAACTCACGCATACAGAGGAACTCAAAAAGTTTTACTCTAATAAAAGGAGAATTAGCCTAGCCAACTTCAAACAAGAATCTTTCAGAAAAATAAAATGGATAAAATAAAGGTGAAAAATTTACTTGTTAAGTAATAAATTTGAAAGTCCGCAGTATGTACAAAATTGTTTTAAGGCCTCGCATACCTTCAATTCATATCTTTTGAAACCGAGACTATCTGGGACGACATTAGTGTTTTTTTAATCGCTAAAATTGATCGTCAATGTCTCCTTAACAGAGCCCACTGTGCTGTGAAAAATTGCTAGCAGTTTAGTAACACTTATATTCGGAATTAGTCAGTCAGACATGTGACATTAGTCATGACTGCAATGTAAACCTAACCTAACCTAACCTGAAGACAACATGAAACAAGACTGGATTGTCCTCCGATTGGATTTTAATATTTAGAGCTTTTCGATGGATTTACGAGAATGTCACTCTGGGAGATGCAGTTGATAAGATTTGTAAACGAGAAATCTGAGTAAATAATAACTCATGTATAATGTAAATTAATTAACTACGTTGGTGAGAAGTCCAGCCATTAAAAACGCACTTTGAATAGTGACAGTTATTTTCGGATGGAAGGCAATACTTTTGATTCAATGCCAACCGATTCTGATAATGTTGTAGTTGTAGCGTTGAATTGAACTTAAGCGACAAGCTGGAAAAAGTGCCAAAAGTGGAACAAAAGCTTTTCAAAAGTCTGATCAATACTAAAAAAAACAAAGGATTATTTACAGCTTCTCCTGTGTTGATCACTGATATGACCTTAAACATTTTGTTAATCAACTTTAGTCTGTTTTATGATTCATTGCCATGTTAAAATCCAAATTTTTTTATAATACAAAACATTTTTCAAATAAACTATTTATTATTAAAGGAAATTTATATTCCCCATCATTAGTCGTTTTAGCTACTGAAACTGCTATAATCCAACTGGACTTCTTGTGAATTAATTGGTTCCTATTCACCTTCCATAATAGTGTAACGCATTTAATCATTTGATATATAAAATAAAAGAGTCGAAAAATAGAGCAAAGTTCATCAACTTCTGCAACATCAACTGCAAATTTGCTAAATATCTTCAATTTCTTGAGCTTAACATGTTTGACTTTAGATATGGTTCTGTTCCGAGACTTGAATCTTTTCTGATACTTTCATACTGGAAGACAAAATGCAATTCCTCTCTTTTATTAGTACAGCGGGAGCAAGTCACGGCAGAAATTTCCGAACGCAACTTTTATTAAAAATGTATAGGATAAATTAAATAAAATTAAATTAAGAAACATAATTAGGATTTCCGGAATTAAAGAAGAAAGAAACCCTCCATGTATTTTTGTAACTTATGGTGGCAATAACTGTTACCAGCTGCAATTTTCTCATCTGATCGACTCCAGACATCTTCAGTTATTGACATTCATATAAGTGAATGCCGTCACGGCTTAGGTTTCTTCTCATGCGATCTTCAAATATTTCCTAGAATATGCTTGTTACGAACTACAGGCTTTTAGATGAACGTTTCAGTAAGTGTCAGCAGGGGACAACAATGAGCAGTCGTCTCGGCCCCTGCACGAACAAGAATCCAGACCAACGTACTGTGACAAGCCTCCTTCATATAAAAGTTGCTATCTAGAAACTTTAGCAGGACTTACAAAGCTCCCGACAATTCTGCAATCGCTGCCGTGCATCAAGTCACGGCCAATCAGACATACGTTACGTGACTTCAAGGCACCGAAGCCAAATTTACGCGTCACGGCCCAACAGATCCTCGCTAATTGCGGGGTAAATTCTTGAGAGAAGTTCTCATTAGAGCCACAATAACTTCGTAGGTTTGTAGCCGAGCATTCCAGGCCTACGAGATAATTCTGAGACTTCAAAATTTCACTTTGGGCGTTGGATGAATCCTTGAACGTTTCATTCATGGCGGTAAAACATGTCTCAGTGGCGGTAATGCAAACTTCAAAGGTCACATTTGTAAAGCCATCCAAGTTGTTAAAATTGGAAAGCTAAGAAAATTCCGCAATATTCATTAAATCTCTTTCTAAAACGTTTTTAATAGAGATGATGTAAATTTTTATGGAATTTTCTTCGCTTTTAAAATTTTAGTAAACAGTTAATAAGCGATTCAAGCAATCGAGTGACATTTATACTCATCCAAATTGTACATTAGCGACTCATTGATGACGGTGAGGTTGGCAACACTAACATCAACAATAAAATCATTAAATTCATCGCAATTGTACACTACTCACTGATAAAATCATTAAATTCATCGCAATTGTACACTAGCGACTCACTGATGACGGTGAGGTTGGCCACACTAACAACAACAATAAAATCATTAAATTCATCCCAATTGTACACTAGCGACTCACTGATGACGGTGAGGTTGGCCACACTAACATCTACAATAAAATCATTAATTCGGCAGGAGCGGCTCACTTTCTGTGTGCCTACAGCCGGCGAAGCGGACGCTCTACTCATACTCATCAGGGAGTCAAAGTTAACCCTGAAAATTTTGTTTTCGGCCATTTTTCGGTGGTTTTTCAACTCTCACGGCCAAACCTCAAGGATTTTTGAAATTCCGACTACATATTCTCTAAGTGTCTCAACGAGATACACGATATATCATTAACAGATTTCCGAAAAAATGAAAACTCACAAAGTTGTGAGCCAAATTTTGATCAACTTTTTACCAATTTTTTCACTTTTTTCTTCACAACTCTACGGAAAAAATTTGTAGATTTTTTCAACAACTCTAATAATAAAGCACAAGTCTTTGCCTTTAATTTGGACCCTGTTTCATGTTCCTAGCTTTTATAGAACTCGAGATATGATTTTTCAAAGAGGACAAGAATTGACCAAATTTTCGTCGAAATCGCGTAACTTCGAGAGTTTGCCTGAACGTGTTCAACGTCTTTACTCTTAAGATTATTGTGCGAGCTGCGTATTTTTTATAAGCGTTCTGAAAGTTGCTATCAACAGAGAATAAAATTGCGCTAATTGCTGTGTATATCACTTATTTTCAAAAAATTATTTCTTAAAGAAACTTGATGAATACACCAAATTGGATTTTTTCCAAAAATTGGATTTTTTCACATTTTGAGCAATATTTAGGCAACTTAATTTTAACTTAAAGACATCATTCTTACATGGTTACCTGCTTCAGCTCTGTAGAATTAATAATGCGAAAGGAAAAATCTCTAAAGTTCTGTAGAAAACTGTTTTCGTGAAACATCAATATTGCTCCGTGCCATGTTTTTGTCATGCGTGCCCGAACTGCTATTTTTAGCTTTTTCAAGGTCTTTTAACTCGGTAATGACAAGGCTTGAAGAAAATGTACGATAAAAAGAAAACATAAATTACCTTTTAATGACCCCGAGTGTTGAGCTCGGGGCCCTGACGTTCCCTCGATATCTGCCGTCAAACAAGACCTCAACTAGAATTTCGCTCAAGCCGTTATTACGACATTCGATGACCACCGGCGTGCAGGAGTAGGCAGCGCTCGTAAATGCGACTAGTAAGTTGAGAAACTGGTACCTTAGGAAGTTTTGAAGCAGTGTTTTTTGCAACCATCAACTAAGTATTTAAACTTTTGCGCTGTTTCCTTTGATAGAGGAAAACCGACACCTATGTTATTGAAGTTTGGAGTATTTTGTCCGGAGTTCGCATTTCCAACACGTTCAATGAGTATTTGAAATGCGAACTCTGGCCACAATCATAAACGGTATCAAAATAGAACAGGTAGGAAATTAAACACGTCGTAAAATATATGTCATTGCCTGAGATTAGGTTCAAGCCAGGAACAAGTTTCTATGGCGACCATGACAAAGGGTGGTTATGTTAGGTTTGATTAGGTTAGGTAAGGCAAAGTTAGTTCAGGCAAGGTTAGGTTAGGATAATTTAGGCTAGGTTAAGTTAGGTTAGGATGGGTTGGGTTAGGTAAGGTTAGGTAAGGTAAGATTAGGTTAGGACAGGTTAGGTTAGGATATTTCAGGCCTTGTTTACTTCGGTCAGGTTAGGTTAGGGTTTTTGGCTAGGTAAAACTAATGTAAGATTGTTTTAAACACTAATGATACACACAGGAAAAGGCCAAAATTTGGGGATTGCTGTGTGTAGTAGGAAATGTGTGGCAAGAAGAAGAGAGAAAAGGAAAAAAAGTAAAAAAAGTATAGCGGCTGATCTGGATTCATCCCAATTGTACACTACTCACCGATGACGGTGAGGTTGGCCACACTAACATCAACAATAAAATCATTAAATTCCTCGCAATTTTACACTACTCACTGATGACGGTGAGGTTGGCGCGGGCGTTGCGCGTGGGACTTCTCTTGAAGTCGACACGGCACCTGTAGAGCCCCGCGTCCTCAGGCCGCAGGCGCTCCAGCACGAGCGACGACGGCGTCGACAGAAGGTCGAACCTCACGCGCTCGCCGAACGTCTTCATGTCCGACCACGAGCGCGTACGGCTGCCCGACAGACGCGAGTCGTGACTGCAAAAAAATATAATTCATCAACAGCATTAGCCATAGTTAAAGCCTTTTATAAGTGTAGAATTTTGAGGTAAACAGTATCTTTCATGTTTATACAATTGGCATTGGTGGTGTCCATGTAGTATAAAATTATAGTAAATTTGCCAGCAATCTCATGGGTGGAAATAATTGGTAACGATGCCCTTCGTTTTTCGTACGAATTCAAGTGCAATTTGCTACCGTACATTAATAAAAAGGAGCAGAGTAAATTAAGACCTCGACGATGACACACCTACGAGTGAAATAAATAAAAAATACATCAACAAATCTTATTAGTATTTGCTGATCATTTTTATGACTAGCCATCACTAAGCCGTCATAAAGTATAACTGTAAAACCACGATCTCGGTCGCAGAACAACCTCACTCCCTCTGCAGATCATTTCGCCCATCTCATAAAGCTTAAGTTAGAAACAAGCAATTAATAAGTCGATGTTTATTTTCCTAATGACAGCAAACTTCAACAGTTAATTAACCGTCGCACGCACTGACCTTTAATTAAGTCGGATTACCACTGAATAATTAACATTTGGAAATTTATTGCTCATTTACGAATGTGAAACTAATAAAAACAATTATTTCGTCCGTCTCTTTCAAATCAGTGTGATAATGCTTTAATGCAGTGATTTTTCATTAATATGAAGCAGGCGTCGTTGCGCTGAAGCCTTGATGATTCGTCATTTTCAAAATTGGATGTATTGAAACTTTGTATTTACGGAACTTTTGTAGAAGTTTTAATGAAATTCGCCAGCCGTGCAAGCAAGCTTCGACTAGCATCAATCAGGGCGAGGCCTGAATTAAAAATGAAATATTTTCCAATAAATCTTTGCCGCGATTCACCTCACGAACCACCACACAATCGCGCCGCTAATTATTTGCTGTCAGATTAGCGGGAATTAGCGTGGGGCTAGGCGGGTAAAGGGGGGGGGTCAGGGTCCAGGGAATGCATCGCCTGGTCTCGTGTATGTTTAAGCTGTGAATAATTTAATTGCTTGGAGACTTTTTAACCAAGATAGTCCATTCTCATTATACTACAGTTCGATTAATTTCGGAATGTTCACTCTCTCCTATTGTCAGACAAGTATTTAATGACTGTTGGATTTGCTTCGACGAAACTACACGAGTTTATCCACGCGATGTGGCCCAAAAATTTCATCGTCAACTGAAAACCATTCACAGTGTTTGGGTATCCCACGAAGGAGCCGATCTATGTTAGGGAAGTCGGCAGACTGTTCCAGGTTCTGGTGTTGGCGACCGGGAGCCATACTTTCAAAACTCGCTACGTGTACGCAAGAACTTACGCTCTATTTTCTTGTTAACGATTGGTGGATTTTGCTTGAAAGGCCGTCAATGATTGGCTGATGAACTTACGATCTCTTAACTTTTCTGAAAGCATGGGCCCGGGAACGCTCTGTCGCCGACGGCAGACAGCCGTGTAGATGGAACAAGCAAGTATTCTAAATCAAATTCTATCACAGGTGCATGAATTCAGATGTTTGACTTTTCTGTATTTGTATTATTGAAAGAGAATCACTTATCAAATCAATAATAATATATTGATACAGCAAAACATAATATGAAGCTTTTTTCACGTGCAGAAACAGTTCATCGATTATTTCAGTGAATGAGAAACCAAACTCTCCACGAAGCAAAACATATCCTATCAACGTCTAAATGCAAGCCGCGCAGGTGTTCGTAAAGCTGACAAAGCAGAATACAGAGACAATCAATCATAACGTATTTGCTGGGAAAACGGCATGCCACTTGAATGATGAACATTGATCTGGCAAATCGAAGCACCTTCTATAGACTAGCAATTAACATAGTACCACTTGCTATAGTCACCCTCGCGTGGAACGGAGAAGAGTATCAGATGCTGGTGCCAAATAACCCTCGTGACGGCAACAATGGCCCTAAATTTTTAACAAGACTGAGTGTAAGTAAAAGTCAAAAGTTAATGGTACAGCTGGAATGATAATGATGTAGAAATATGGTGAGACATAGTGACATTGACGACTTATGCGCATTAGTATCGATGATAGTATGCGTAATAAATGATGCTGTAACGTTTTAAACGGATATAATAATGATTATAATCAAAGATTCGTAGATTCCGAGTGCATCATCATTTTCATGCTTATTTATTTTTCGGAAATAAAATGACAGCGCAAGAAAAACAATCCACAACTGAATATCTGTGCAAAAATATTTTGAAGAAACAGAAGATATTTGTGCAGAATCATAATATGTTAGAAATGTTTACGCATAGGTACGTTTAGGTATCAACATATACATCGCTGTACAGACGCAGGCGTTTGCAGTGATAATTTCTGTTGTTATCAAATTCCGTGATGTAATTTAGGAGGCACAATACTCTTCACAGTGCATCATAATTGAACTTCTTTTTCATGGCAAAGATAAACGACAATGAGGAAAAGTTCAATTCTGGGATTGGGCTCGACCGAGTACGAATTCTGACAGAGCTTGCGGCGTTGCGATGTGAAAATCAATGTCTGTATTTAATTCCACGTCAATAAATTCTACTTTCGTGATTTATACAAGCGATGGAGAAAAAAATTTGATGCTTGTCCACATTTATATTTTTCAGAGCGCTGAGAAGCATTCTGGTCAGGCGTACAGAAGAGGAATACGAATGAGGAAGCGATTTAATCGTATTGCCAATTCAGGCAGTATTCGTGCTAAGGTAGCGTGCGTGAACCGAATGCAAACATAAGTTCATATGATAGATAAGAAAATAATACCTATTCGTGGAATTGTGGAGACGTTTCCTTTAATGAAGTTTTGTTGAACTTTAAAGCGTAATTTTCACTAAAAGTAGGAAAAATGTTAGTAGGAGAAACGCTCCGGTCACCAATAAAACTTGCATTTAAAAAAGTATTCAGAGCGCAACACCCAATCGTCTCATAATTTATTTTAAAAATATTTCTCATCCAACCCCAATTAGTAGGGAAAGATTATAATTTGAGACTGCATCACGAAGCTGATATAAGCAACGTATATGAACAAAATTGTGACAATAAATGTTTTTTACAAATGTAAACAATAATTCGCTGGTTTTAGCTGAGATTCCATATAAGGCGATCTTCAGGCCACAGGATATTTCATCTTCAAAAGGATTTTTGTTTAAAAATATATACCCCTTCTCTATAATCAATAAAGTTTTCACGTAAATTACGTAAAGCATTTAAGTATTGGACGACATTCAAGAACGTGTGCATGCATTTTGCATTAATTGAAGTATTTTTTTACATTCTATTTCCGAATAAACACTTAGAACAATGAGATTCCTACGTCATGTAAACATAAAAAATGTAGCATTAGACAATTCCTCTTTTTAGACAGGAAAAAAGAGCCTTCAAATTGTCTAAATTGGCTAACAGTACTGATAAACCTATAGATTATAGTTGGTTGCGATGAACAGAAATTTTCATCTTAATCTAGGGAATCATGATAGCAGATAAGCTCAAATATTCTAGGGGGAAAGGGTTGCAAATTGTCAATAAACAGCATAAGAACGACTAGCATGACATGTGGAGCTGGCTCATCGTATATTACGATCAGGCGCATTCAAGCGCACCGTATAAACTCCGCTGTCAGGGACAGGCGCTCAAATCTTCATTGAATTATATATTATTCTAACAGTAGCACTTCATGATTTCGTGGCTTGTTTAAATGCAGAATTTATTTGTGGTTTTATTATTGAAAATGCGATATGAGTATCGCACCGAAATACATTGACAACCGACAAATTAAAAGTTTTTATAGACTATTTTCAATGTGGAGAGGTGACTAAGATGAATGGAGATAAACCAGCTAAAAGTAGTAGCAGGTAACATGAATTATGTAAGAAAGAACATAGTATTATTTGATTAACTGACTTGTGTATAGGCATGCCGATGCCGTCTTTGTACCACAGCTGCTCAACTCACTGACCTGTGTATAGGCGTGCCGATGCCGTCTTTGTACCATGAATCGGACCACCTCAAAATGAAGATATAATCGTCAATAAGTGAACTTCACAGAACATTAATTTTAATTGCATAAATCAGTAGGTCCTCATTATAACCCATAACAATCAACTATTATGCGAACAAAATAAACGCTTCAGCTACTAGGCACAACCTTAATTAGTAAAAGAAAAAAGTAGTTTTCTCGGTATCAATAATAAACAAAGTGAAGAATAAAATAAAATTTGAGCCCCGAATATAAATTTATGTTTTTAAATGGGGCAGTAAGTATTGAAAGAACGGTCTGACATAATAAAAAGATATTGTGAAAAGTAATTTCTAGAGATGACATGAGTGACTACTGCATCAATATACCATGGTATCCCCTCTATATCATCTTTACTCATTGTCGATTTTCGCTGGAAGCGGTGCTCTGACGTGTTTGTTTGAAAAAAATAAGTCTGCGCTTACAGCTTAGCACTATTCAAGTTATTTAATAACATACAAATTAAAAGATCACCCAGCAAATACTCAGCAGCAAGCAAATAGACTACACTATATGCGTAATGCTTCCATCATTGTAGCCATGTAACTCATAATTTTACTGCGAAATACCATCATCACAAATTATTGTACCTCGAACTTAACGCGCACTTTTTATGCAATCGTCATCACATGGTCGTCGGCATATAGTGTCTAAGTAAATGCAAGTAAGTTATAATGATATACCAAGACCGAATAAGGAATTTAAATTGTTGACAATTCACTTCTTGCGTAAACTGCCTTGCTCGTTGAGGAGAGAAGAACGGGTGCCGCTGTTCACTCGCTTCAAGACACACATGGCTGAGCTGTCATGATCAATTATGTTTCTTTTCTTGCTACATATTCTGTGTCTCGACCTCCACGATGATATTAGGTTCATAAGATTACAGCATTCGCAGTGCCAGCCTTTATATTACTATTCGGTGTCAACAATTATGTAGAATACGGTGAG